TATGTATGCATAATTCCCACCTCTTTATATACAGTAAAATATTCACTGTTTAATAGCAAAATCTTTAGTGAAATACCATCTACTTCCAATTTAGCATAGAAAACAATTTGCTCAACAAATATTGCTCCTCCACATAAAATAAAATTTTAGATAATACAAAAAATTGTCCTTCCAATATTTAGAAAAAATTACAGTTCTTCTCAACATTTGCACATTACAAAACAGAAAGTAAATTTGAGCCACTCCAACTTTAAAACCAGCATAGGCTGGGCACAGAGACTCACACCTGTAATCCTAGCACTTTGGGAGGCCAAAGCAGGAGGACTGCTTAAGCCCAAGAGTTTGAAACCAGTGTGGGCAACACAGGCAAAATAAAAAAATTTTTAAGCCAGGCTTAAGGCCAGTAATATTCACACAACAATATTTCAAATAGCATTCCTCTTGTTATTTTGCCAGCTAACACTAAAAGTTATTTGTACCATAAAGTAAAAAATAATTCTATCTCCAATATTGAAAAGACTCAGATAATTATCAGGGATGGGGGTAGTCTCACAGAATACGAGTATTTGACATTTATTATAACACATGACAAAGAACTGTCCCTGGTCCCCTGCATATTTGAGATGTAAATGTGTTTGCTTAAACAAAAGCTTTACATTCAGGAAATAACTGAGCATCTACCATTTGCTAAGGATAAATTCTTTAATGGTAAAAGCTATTACATATTACTAAACTATTTTAAAAATAATAAACATAGCATCTTTTGAGAAAACTGTATACCAATATGTCCTAACCAGTTTTGATAGCCATTAAAAGTTTTGTTGGATTTATACATTTTAAACACGTTGTGGTAATACACAGCAGGAACTGGTAGTCCCAGCAGTAACTTTCAGAAAAGCAGAGATGTTAGGGTTTACATATAATACACCTTTAAAAATAAAACAAGTTTCTTTAAAGGACTGATGAATGAAAATGTGTACATTATTCCTGGAAATTAAGAAACCAATTTTAGAAGTTATATTTTCCTTAAGACCACTAAGATACGTATTAAGGGGAAAAGTTTCCCCTAATTTATTAATTAGCTTTTCTCTCTACTTCCTCACTTTTAGATCCAACAAGTCCTAGCACTTACTGGGGTATATATGGCAAATGATTCTCTGGCTGGAAACTGTGACCAAGTCAGACAAGTCAAAATTGTGGAAGCGCTATCAGTCTTATAGAACTGAAGGGAAATAGAGATCTATAAAGGTTCTAAACCTAGATTGGGATAAAAGGGATCCTTTAATTTACACTGACAACAAAAGTATGACCAAAATGTAGTCTCTAAAAATACAATTTATTCTCCAATTACCTTACAAGTTTTTACAAATCCACTTAAACAGATAAACAACTAATCCTTCAAACTCAGCTATCCTAAGAACAAAGACCATTTGACTACTTTTCCCCCAAGGGACCAAATGTTTCAAAACTCCCTGGGAACAAAAGATATGCCTAACTTTTTAATAAATTTGCCTCTACAATTCTAACTTAAAACATTTATAGTCAACCAAAAACAAGCATTGAGAGACATGTTATTTCTAAAGTAATCATTCAAAATAAGATATAATACCTTAAGAAAGAAAGTCTCATTTCACAGGAGTCAAACATCAAAACAAAACTCACAGCAATGAAGCCAGTGTGAAGAAAGCTAGCAGACTGGAGGCAGGTTTCCCTATAATTTCTAACTTGATTTTTGTTTGAAGCCAAATCAGTCTAATTGCTTTCTGTGTCTAGACCTGTCCAAGGTCACTATGAAGAAAAACATGGGCACAGTGTTCCCTCCTATGGCTACATAAATCAAATTTATATGAATACACTGATTTTGTACGTTGAAGAGTAAGTTTAAAGTACTAACCTTCCAAACCACAGATCTTAACCACCTAGCCTATAAAATAAATGCACAATCTTTAAACAGCAGTGAAGGATTTGGGCTTATATACTCACTCAGAGCATAATACAAATGAGTGCTGTCCCCAAATCCCTATTCAAACTCTCCCATTACCCTCCTACCTTTCACTTTATAACAAAATATTTCTAAGATTCTAAGTAAGGTTGCATGCTCAGTCTTCCATGATGAAACTCACTGGTATGTAGAAAATGCTTAAGACAGTTATTTCAATAATTATTTTGTAGAATAGAACTTTATCATAAACCTAGTTTACATATTCACCATATGAAATAAATTCTGCTCTAAAATATCGACAATGGAATAAGGGAATCATAAAAGGGTGCACTCCCCAACCTTTTTAAGTACTATTGGATTGAAAGGCACTCCATCTTTCAGTTGCTTCACAATCAGAAGGGTCATTAAATGCCACTGATGGCTCACTCATATCCCACTGCTTAATTCAGCCCAAAAAGATGATCAACCTCCCACTATGGAAGTGATTAGAAATGAATTCTAATCATTCACTTTTAAAAATACAGTGCAATGACATCTGACACCATTTAATTTTCAGCCTCAGTCTATAAGATTCTGAAAATAGCATAAAATGGATTCAAGACCCTATTATGGTAATGTTTTATTTAAGGTCTATTAAAACAGACTAAATTCCACAATCCCTTAATAGGTAAATGGGCAAGTTTGGGGGGGGTTAAAAAAAAAAAAAAAAGCCTTACTCTTAATTTACCTAATAATGATAGTGTGCTGTAAGACAATTTTTAAAGGCAGCAAGGTATGGAGCTTTGCTTTCCCAATATAAAATCAACTTTGAAAATTCTTAAGGAAATCTTAAATACATGGGAAAATTTGATGCAAAACATAATAATAGGAAGAATAGCCTATCTACATCCAATGAAGTAACAGGTTTAGGCTTGTTTGTACAGCTCCCTAAAATTTAATCAGAAACAGAATACAAAAACCAAAATTTACAAAACTGATCAAGAGTTGGATAGGAAATGTTTTACTCTGAGATTAAAACATCAGATCACACAAAATAGGTTGTACTTATACACTTACTAAAACATTTTAATTTACTTTAGCATGCTGAAAAAAAAGATGGTTGGATTAAAGCGAATAAAAACTACTTTTGGTACCCAAATAATTTTTTTAACGTTTAAGAGCACCTATTATCACCACCAAAATTTCCAAGGCTATCTGAATGTTTTATTTCTTTTTCAAAAGTGGAGTAATTTTATTTGCCTCTGAGAGGAAAAAAAAACAATAAAATTAGTCAACTAAAACACAGATTGCAATTTGCAGTAAAGTCGACACATTTTTGTAAACGACTCAGGCAAGAAAAAAAGCCCAGTCTTTTCATGTAAACATAATAAGCCTGTAATATGCTGCAGACAAACGCACTGCATGGGGTGTGGAGGACCCGAGCTGATTAGATTACCACAACATCAGCCTGGGGCCGCCATTTTTAGAATCTGTAAAGGACAAAAGAGAGAAATTTCAGTTTTTACTCCCCATCTCGGTCATTAAAGGAAAAAACAGACTATTTTCCAATTATGTACTGATGTCTCCAGCCTAGAGTTGAATGCACCTCGCTTAATTCTCTCCAAGGTCTCCAGAACTGCAAACACCTTACGCTATTCACATCTCTAAAAAGGGAATAAAACAAGCAAAACGAGGCTCAATCTAGAGCTAACTCCAGCGATTTCTGACTTGAAATTGTATCGTTAAGACGGAGCCCCGCAAGGACGGATCTACACGGAACTGAGGCCAGTGAGAGAGAGCGCTCCGGATTGTTTCTTCTCCCCCCCAACCCGCTTTGCACAGTGAACCGTTTGTTTCTCGTCCGTGTCTGCTGCCTCAGGGTTTGTGCCAATCCCTTGGTCAAAATAAGCTCTTCCGAAATGAGCCATATTGTGGGTTCGCAGGCTCCCGCACAGTAAAGGACGGCGGCAGGCGAGAGGAGTGGGGGAGGAGACGGAGCGGGCTGGGTCCCGGGGTGACCACCTCAGGGGCGGGCTTACCCTCTCCCGGAGAGGATGAGGCGCTGTCTCGCTCTCCCACAGACACAGATGCCCAGGGCGTTCTTTCCCCCCCTTTCGCGTGTGCGAGGACAGGGTGCCAGAGGCGGCCGGGCAAGGCACGGGAGGAGAAAATGGGGCCTCCGCGGCGGCTCAGCACCTGAGCAAGACGCGGCGGAGCACGGCGAGCGCTGGCAGCTCCCGGGAGCGCTCCGACACCGGCCCCACCAACAGTCGCCAGCCTCCCGCCTCACTCCGGCGGCCTCGGCCCGCGGCCGATGCGGAGTGCGCCCCCTCCCTCACTCCCACTCTCAAGGGGGTTTAACTGCCAGTTTCCCCTTCCCCAACCCCAAAACCCGCCATAATGCTCCATTTCCAGGGACAGGGGACAGAAAGGATACGCTCGACGGGAACGAGCAACGTCTTGCCCCGGCAAAGACACCTGAGAGTCAACGTCGCCCCCCTCCCCAAGGATAAAGATGAGAGCCCTCCCTCCCCCTGGAAGCCCAAGTCCCCCAACCCCGCAAGCCCCAGGAACTCCCACGGAGGCGGCAGGCACTGACCTGTGATGTTCACACACCAGACACCCGAACCCCGTTATCGGCTCGATCCCCACGGAGTCTCTCCACACCTCCGCGATCCGGCGACCCCCAGACAGCAGCCACTGCGGACGCAGGAGCCGGCTCCACACACCCCTCCCCAAACAGCAGCGCGCAGCCTCTTGACCAGGAACCGAGGAGTCAGGGAGGGGGCACCCAGGCGGTCAACAGGAACGCAGAGGCGACGACGAGGCTGCTCCGAGTGTCTATGCCCCCTCTGTTGCCGCTCCCGAACTCAGGCACGGTCTCCGACTCGGCCCCCTGCGCCCGCTCAGTGTCACTGCCTCTCGCTCTGGGA